TCAGCATATGTTTGCCACTTGGGATGTTGTCAGCCCTGTGTTGAGGAAGGCATCATTTGGAGCATTAGCAGGGCGTGACCTGTGAATTTCAGTCCCGTTTTTACTTCCCGGCACTGCAGCCGCAGTTCACACGAAACATCCCAGTGAAGCTAAAATCCCCAAGGTCCTCGTCCAACCGTCACGTGGGGGGATTAACTTGTGCAATGACAGACCATGAATTCAGTCACCTGCAAGGCCACCTCTGAAATCCCTGCGACCCTACCGCGTCCTCGTTCGAAGCTGTCATGCGAAGCTGTCCTGAACTCGTTCTGCGGCGGCGCCGCTTTTCGCCAGGAGAAAGTGGCGCTCCATTTGCCTCTCAGAGATCGGGGATGGAGGCTGTGAGAGGGGTAAAGGTTGATGTTGGGTAGTGCTCTTGTGGCACTTGCTCCAAAGGGCAAGGGCAGACACCATGAGACACCAGGTGTCTCACCTCAAAGAGACCCAGCTCATCGTGCCAGCTCCGTTTGGCCGTCTTCGTGCTGAGGGACGTCAGAGACCAGATCTGGACGAAACCTGATGCCAATATGATCAGCCTATGATGCCTATGGGCCTAAGATTAATGCTGAAGTTTTATTGCGAGAGGTTTTGCCCACATTCGAACATATTCGAAAATATAGCTCGAGCCTTCCTGAAGCAGGAGCATATTAAATTAAACTCCGCTCCCAAAAATGATAACCTGTCGTTTTACTGAAAAGTCGTCGCCGTGGAAGGTCAACCTTTGAGCACATTGGCTCCATGGCCGCCAGTTCTGCGCGACGTGAGAGCGAAACACTTTTGCGAGGAGATTTGTTTGCCACCGGGCGGTGGCTGCCGGGTGGGCCTGGCAAATTGAAGATATACAGTACATACATACTATGTATACCATGTGTTGATTGACACTCACTTTCGACGGGATTTGGAAGAATTGGCAGAAGAAGCATGTTTCCTGTAAGACACGAGGACTGGGGACTGCAATGGGGCATCCATATCGTCCACTTGAACTTTTTTGAAAACGATACGAGCATGCAGGCAGTTTCTTTGCACAGTGAGTTGAGGTCGTTTCAAAGGTTGATGGTTATAAGCACCAGTTGCAATGAACACGGATCTATCTCCATGGATCTCCATTTTTTTGGGTCGGTCGCTTAAGCACCAGGCTGTGGTCGGTCGCTTTCTGTTGCCGGCCTTCAGCCGATCACGGACTCCCGGTGCGGCCTGAGGCACGTCCTTTGGCGCAGTGTTTCCATGCGAACCTCACCGAACTGGAGCCACTTGGCTTCGACGAGAACGAGACGCAGCGCGGCTCAGCTGCGACCTGCACACCTGCGCGGGCGCGCGATCGCGAGTTTGCGAATGCTCGTGCCAGCTGGTGGCTTGGAATCGATGCGAACTGCACAGATGGTGGAGGGAGACTGCAACTTGTACTATAATTTACTGTATGCCACATATAAATATATATATATAGCCATATAGTGGATATAGGGCAACTCCACCGATGAGATGGGCAACCCTTGGGGATTCGCTTCCACTGGCGATGGCTCATCAGCAACAGGCACCCCCAAGATTGGGTAGTGATTCGTGTGGGTTCAAAGAAGAGACATTGGCATCCCCCTTGTTCATTCAGACCTTGTGATGCCTCTCGGAAACCTCTGATCTACTTGTCATGGTCCATCATGGCCGCCGAAACCATTGGCGGATTTCGCAGCGGATTTCACAGCGGTTCACCCAGGTGCGGGCAGAACTCCTTGGGGGAGCTCACCTCTGCACAGCTCGTCGAGTCGTTGAGCTGCCAGGGGGCTTAAGACAGAAAAGCAAGAAGGGTGACTTCGGAGATGATAAGGATGAAGCTTCAGAGATGAAGCTGAATTTGCTGACCAGCATGATCAGCAAATCAAAGTGCAAAAACCGCTCAGCTGGCCTTTTTGGATCAAGTCTTTGTGTTGGGTGTGACAGCATCTAGACAGGGACTTGATCCTTATAGGAAAGCCTGGTCAAGACTTTGGAAGAGGGTAGTGGGTAGAGGGTAGAAGGACATGATAAGACATGTGTCACCTGTCCCAAGTAGTTTTGGATTATATATAGTTGCTTGCTTTCCTTGAGCCAATCTGAAGCAACCATGAGCAACCCGAACCCTGTTAAAACCCTGTTGCGCAAGTCATCCCGGATGTTCATGGATTGTCCGGCAAGCTATATAGTAGCAAGAGTCCGACCCGCAGCGGCCCGCAGCAAGCCGAGACGTTCTCTGAAAACGCTGTCGTTTTGGTCTGTAAGCGCGACCGCAGGAATCGCGATTCGATTCCAGGCTCGACCGCCTCTCTTCAGCGCCTAGCAATGCCAAACACAGGCGTGGGCGCACCGGTCAACGTGGCGGTGGGGGGCAGCTGCTTAGGCTTGTCCGCAGAAAGGATCCAGTCATGTTTCGATGGTCAAAGGACTAACCCTAGGGCTCCAGTTGTGCCTCCCCAGAAGGTATGACTGGACCCTCCTGGCACCCACCCCAGTCCCACGTTCTCAGAAGGTACGACTGGAGCTCTAGGGTAAGTAAGGTATATGATTGTTGCCATGCCTCGTGGTGATTCACCCCATACATGGACGCCGACCACCGTCACTTTCCAGGTTCCAAGCCGACCGGAACGCGTGGCTCACACCCTGCCCCGCGTGGCTTCACCCGGGTTCATCATGACTTCGGAGGGTTTCAGGAAGATCATGTGACACCTCCTCATCATCTGAACGAACTCCTCCACTCTCTTCCGAACACGTCGATCTGCGAGGCTTTGGCCTCCGGGCTGCTGGCGCCTTGGGCCAAGCCTTATGGCCCAAGCGTGGTGCTGCCCAGCTCCGGAGCCTGGACTGCCCACTGGGGCTCGGTTTGATGAGCTCCAAAGTTCATAGAAGATAATAGAAGTTTGGCTCGAAGAGAGTGAGGATGATTGATGATTGATGATTGATGCAGCTGCTGCTGCTGCTGCTGAGGAGGAGGAGGAGGATATACTATGTTCCGCCTGGGGACATTGGACAAAGAAGGCTGCAACTATTGAGTTTTTGTTTGGTTCTGGTATAGATTCACGCTTCCAAAAGCACAAAAAAGCGTTAAGTCTTTGTTTTGGTCGCCCCCCGGGGCCTTACACCAATAGCAATGCCTCCCGCATAGCATGGAGTCGCCCTGCTTTCCGCGGCAGGACCTGGCGCAGAATCAACTCGTGGACGTCTCCATCGAGCTACTCTCAGACGGTCTTTGCCGCTGCGCTTGCTTGGAGGAGGTGCTGTTCTTCCGCCGCTTCCTCCGGAACAACGAGGCTTTGACCAACTTGGAAATCCTAAGACCTGAGGTGCAAATGAGTCTTTGCAATCTCTTCCAAAGTATTTTGTAGATCAATTTGATGTACAGATTGTGGGCCCCTTCAACTGGCAGAACCTCCTGCTTCCCTGCAGAACCCGCGGTCCCTCGCTGCGCTCCGTCCGAAGCGCCGGAACTCCGTCCGGAGACCGACCGACGCGTTCGAAGAAGTCTTCCGGGGAAGGGAAGGACCATCCAGTTTCATGCTAAGACCTCCCAAAGAAGGGCCTTTACAAGAATGAATTAGACGCCATGAGTGTGCCAAGATTAGTTTTTGATAGTTTTTGTTCGGTATCTCATCAAGGCAGCTACTCTACTATAGGTCACCGAGAGGTTTTTGTGGAGATGATGATGCCAAGAAGAATCATCCAGGAGTCACACGTCGGGGTGGTTGGTTCGTCCCATCCATCAGGGCCTTTTTCCTGTTGCACCTTATCCAGCACCGTGTCCGCACCAAACCGATGAACGTGATGGCTGGATCCTCCATCTCCGTCAGTTTTTTGGCGAAGACGGGATGCCCACCGCACGTCGGAGTGCTCTTCATGTTGCCGACAATCCACACATGCCGCACCAACCGCGGCGTTCTCCAGGTGAACCTGGCCCGAAATGCCCGGCGCCCGGGCTGGGGATGTGGAACCGGACGTCCGGTGTGACTGGGTGGTGACTGGGTGTATGGCATCCATGTCTACAGTCTATAGGTCTTTTCTGATATAGGTATTCACTGACGTAGTTAGTCAAATACTTTTTGGTCTGAGAAAGGGTAAGGTCGCCATTTTTGTCCTTCTTGACCGCAAAGGAATCGCTGGCATACTTAAAAAAGAAAGGAGCGCTCTCAGCGACGCTCCACCATCGGCTTTCCACACACGAGAACACCGAGAAAGACACGAGGCAGCCAACCTACGCGGAGGGAGAAAACCGCGAGGTTTGATTTCTCCGAAAGACGAAACACCAGGGGCAGCCTGCCGCAAGTGAGAGTTTCATTCCAGCCGCGTTGCGAGAGTGCTTCGAGGATTATTGTAAGGTTCCGCGTGGGAGTCAAGTTTCCTGCTTCCTGCCCTGCTTGGTTTGAAGTTCTAGTTTGTTTCATCAGAATCATGGATTACCTACACTGACAACTGGAGGGGGTTCTGGTTTGCTCACCTACTGCTCTCACTGTCCAAACTATTGAAGGTTGGGACAACCCGGCATTCAGACTTATAGATCATATAGCAGAAACATGACAAGTTGTCATTCTTGTTCTTCTTATACACCCATGGGGGTTGAAGGAAAACCCTCGCTGTTATAACCTTCCCCCTTGGTGGCTGGTGGGCCACCGGTGCCCGTGTCCAGAACCGCCCTTGTTGGGACAACATGGCGATGCATGGCGGTCAGCTGTTTTGGATCGATGAAGATAAAAGGCATAGGTAGTATAGGGGTTCATGCACATCACAAGCACATCACATGCACTCAGGAACCAGATGCACAAGAGCTTAGTATAGAGTTCTGTTTTCATTTTGGGCTAAGCATTAGAGCCACCAGCTACCCATCTCCTTCGTCAAGCGATACAGAGGCGATCACCGGCGAAGCCCTCACTGAGAGCACGATCAAAAGCCTCAAGTGGAGACCCATGTGATGAACTGGGCAACAGATTTGCGCAACTGGGTGTCCTTCTCCCAATTTCCTCGGGGTCTTTTCCGGGCTAGACCCCGCACGCGATGACGTGGGACTGGCAGAAGACGGGGGAACCGTTGGATGCAGAAGCCGCGCCTGGGATTGCCTTCGCAGTATAGGGTGGTTTTGAAGGTCGGAAGGGATATGAAGGAATGATCGTGGACCCTTTGTACACATAAATCCGCATCTGACACTGACTGCAAAGACTCAGCGCTTAGCATTCAGTCATTCCGACTTGTGACATACAGTTCTGCCAGGGAATGATGTGCTGTGGTCTATATGCGTGTTTATGACTCACATATATAATATGTTCATGACCCCGATCCATGTTACAAAAGTTTGGACAAGTTGTCAGATTCCTTTGATAGCCTGTTTAGATTGGTGATGATTGGTGTTTGATACTGAGAGAGGCTGTGCCCAATCACCTGGAAAATTGTCAAGGATCTCAAAACACTGTAAAGCACAGCATGTAACATATATACATCATCATATATATTTATATTGTGATTCAAGCATGGCCTGATCATACCACTTTTCCAGAGTCATAAGATTACAATTAGGAACTATAAAATATGCAGACAGAAACCATAGAAGCATGACTGCAATCCTTCGATTGCTGACCCCAGAGGCTGCAGTCCGTGTGCCTAAAAAAAGGTCCCAAACATGCACCCATAAGCCAATTTGTTGTGACCGACATCCTGGTTTCAGAAATGGTCCATGAAATCTGTGACATGCATCAAGAGAAGTTCATCTGCCAAGTTAAGGAGAAGTTCATCAAGCGATGTCAGCTAGAGGACCGGGGGTTACGTGGGGATCCAATCCGAGAGGAGGGTGGAATCCTTCAGAATTCATCAATCTTTTGAACATGTTGCACCAAAAAACCAGGTGATAGTTTTCTCCATTGGATAGCATTGGTGGAGTCCGGTGGAATTGGTGTTGGAACGATTCCATTTTCAGCCTTTATGTAAGGCTCTTTGCTCTTGACCGGTGCGTTTCGTTCGGTCTTCCGGATGGCCGGCTTCTGCAGTGGCTGGATCAGTTGCTTACTAAAGAGTTGGGGTGCCTCATCTCACGCAGATTCGGATGGATGCCTAGTGAGGCTTTGCAGTCCAAAACCACGTCCGCATGTTCCCTTTGAATCCGAATGGGAGTGTTTCAGAGATCAAAGCTTTGGTACTGTAGTGCAATGTGGCGATGACCTTCGGATACAGATAGAGGAAGGAGGTCAACACAGCCCCTTCCAACATCTACTATACAGTGTATGTATATATATATATAATATAAAATTATATATATATGTATATCAAATTGAGTTTCGTCGGGCTCATGGTACCATAGGAGAACATGTCCAAAATGTCCCAAAAACACCTCTGCGCCTCGCAGGATGCATCGATCACCTTCCTTTCTGGCCACTCAGTCGGTTTTCGGGTGCAGCGGCGCAGGGGTGTGTGCTTTCACGGCCACAAGACTTATGTCATCTCATGTCGCTCTATAAAGATAGACAAAAAATGACAAGAAAGAGTGTCCGAAACCTACCACATTTTGAGCTCATGGTAAAGAACTAGCGCGCGTGAAACAGCAGTTTGCCTGCACGGGGGTGGGGCCGCACCTTTGCAGAGGGATGCTTTTTGCATGCTCATGTTTAAGCGATCGGGTTCTTGGAGTGGTTGACATATTTATTTCCGTGCAAAATACTGCCAGGCCAATGTCCAACTGAATATGGTGACCTGGTGGTACTTAAGGCGCAGGGAGGAGGTTCCATGAATTTTCTTTAGGATTTCTACGAGGTCGAGTGATTTTTCGATCACCATCTAGGAGTAGCTTGCTAGCAGCAGCGGGCAAACTTGACGCATCAGCTAGCATGATGCCTGCCAAACTTTAGTGCACGAATAGCTCTCTCGCTGGAGATCAGACAGCCTACACTATCTAAATTGGGGTGAACTGAATCATCATCACAACTACATTCACAAGGAAGTCAGGGCTTAGGATTGCTCGCCCCCATAACACAAATGACTGCAGTTTTGTCTTCGGCCTTTCCTAGTGGAACGACCGTTGGTGCTCGCTTTCGATCGCGGCCCAACTACCAATTAAGATGCCAAGAGAAGCGGATCCCTAGAAGTTGTGCTGCCAAAGCAGGCAAAATACACTGAACATCACTGAACCGATTTGAGGTATTCCAGAGAACGTGAAGGATGAAGCGTCTTGGTATGAAGATGTGAGGCTCCGAAATCATTCAAGCAAACCACGTGCTGTAGTGGACTGTCATGAGCCTCGAAACATTAGCGCCCTATCCAAGCAGGCTTCGGTGAGTTTGTGGTCTTTGGGGGCTGAATTGGTTGTTATCCTCATTTCTTTTAAAGGAGTTTTCATGCTCATTGCTGTTTGATTCTATCCAACCATCTTTTCCAACCTGGTTTTTGCAGGTTTTCTGACCAGACCTATAGTAGACATTGGAGTTGCATGAAATCCAATGAACAGGAACATGCCAGGAATTGCCAAATGAAAGAAACATTGGATGCAAAAATGACGTTTCTACGAGACGCTTCGGGCAGCGGAACATGGGAGTTACAGATTTGGGGCTAAGTTGTTACGAGTTCTAAGGCAGCGTTGGTCTGCTGAGGAGCATGCATGTTGAAACCACCGAAACGATATCGGAATGTACAGAAGAACTAGATGTGTTAGGGGGCACCCACCATAATGGTTCACGGTCACACTCCCACCTTCCAACCTATGACCATGACAGTGCGTTCAAACCTTCTACATTCACCAGTTTTCAGGATGTTATAGGATGATATTAGATATATTATTAGGAGGTAGGGTGTTTAACAAGAATCCGGACCCCCCTGGATCCCCTCCAAGACGCCGACGTTCCTCCCAGGTCGTGCGGAGCATGTGCCCCGCCTGGGAGCAGGGTCTCAGTCAGCGCGAGTTCTTCGAGATCGTCCGTGGCTTGGGCGCAGACTCCGTGGGTCCACACCTTGGGCCTTCCGTGTGGCCAAGCGGGGGGTATTTGGATATATTTGGCCAACAGCCTCAGGCCAACAGCCTCAGATGGGTCTCTAGAAGAAGCGAGCTTGTGGCGTCAGTTTCTCCACGGAACGTAATGGAACGTTCTTCAGCGCCAGAAATTCACCGGCTTAGTTGACACCTGGGCAAAAGAACTGACATCACGTGTTGCTGGGCCCCTGGTCCAGGGAGAGAGGTTTGAGGTGGTTGCGGGGACTGTTTTGGAGGTCGCTAGCCCGGTCAAGGTGCGCTGGAGGGGCAGTGGAAGGTGACGAACAGCTAATTGGGCCGTTTGTGGTGATCCAAGTGTCGAGGAACAGGTACAACAACAAGTACAGCGCTGGTAAAACATGTGCTCCACGTTTGTGATCCAGCTTGTTTTCACCTTTGGATGCCTGTTACTACCGATAGTTCATAGCTCCTCTCACCATAGGAGTTTGGTTGAGACCTTCAGCCCGCTTGACTCAAGGCCCGGCGTGAAAAAGGTGATCTACCCTCAAGGGTAGTGATTCACGTCACCTTCCGCTACCTGTGTGCCCAATATGTTTTGTGAGTCTCTATGTTAAAAAGAATTGGGAGGGCAAGTGCAAACCAAAAGCATGGATAGACACATCCTTGCGGCAAACTTCTGCCTTACTTCTCCTGTATGCCCTGTCCCTCAACGTTTCGTTCTGAGATTCCTGTACTATTCGTAAGGGCTAAGATGTTCGGGAATCGGAAATGAATTGCTATTTCTGTGAGTTGGCTAGCGGCTAGACTTGATAACTTGAACTTGCCAGTCACTACCTTACTTCAATCTGGGCAACACCTGAAAGGGAATGAACTCAAGTTCTTGTGGGTCCTTTAATGAATACAATTGAATGGAATCGGCATTGGGTCCCTGATTTGCTGTTCATTCCGGTGATTTTTAAGAACAGCAACGATCCAACAACCATCCGTTTGGGGTTGCCAACACACACAAAGAAATAAACCATCGTGTAGGACACGAGCTGGCATGACCGATTGTTCTTTTCGTCACCTGAGCCCGGCCCAGGTGACATTTGGATCAAACAGCTGGACATCCAATGGAACAAGGAGGTCATGCGGCTCATTCGAACCTCCGCACAGGCGCAGCCGCGGTGCAGCCGCGCGCAGCATCGCGCAGCCGAACCCCCGCAGGATATGCCATCACCCAACCCCAGGATGCCATCACGTGAAGCACCGGAATTTGGACACCTCAGGTAGGGGCCAGGCTAGGAGGCGAGGTGGAGGAAGAGGCCAGGCAGAAGTTCCGGTGTTTGAATTCAGCGCCAGCAGGAACGGCTAGGGAGTGAATCCACAAAGATGATAGGAGTGATGTGTAGCCATAACCAGTGGAGATGATGACCCATTCCAAAAGCAGCTTTGGTGTCCCAAACGCTCACCAAAAAAAAACTGGATTCGCATCATTGCTCGACCACAACGAATAAATGTGGTGTTTTTGTTTTTGCCGGGTTCCATGTGGACCGTGGGTGGTTCTACGGTCAACCTGGAGGGTGCTGCTGGCATGAATTGCAGTGCGCAAGCTGTAGGATAACCATAGCGAGGATGGCTTCGCTATGGCTGCTGGTAAGAACATCCAAAATCGGTCCAAACCTGGAAGACTGTCTTGCAACCCATCTCCAAAAGTATCTCAAATTGAAAATGTGCTTCGCAGAAGAGCACTTTTTGTGCCTCTTGGGTGCTATGTTAGTGGGATTGGCCACCCAAAGATGTTGCTTTTGGTCAATGAACCAAATCCGTGCCCAGTCAACATCTGCCCAGTCATCCGTGCACATGGCCCAAGCGGCTCAGGAGGATCTTCGGATTGTCATGATGAAATTCGATCCAACTCGGACGAAAGACGGCATCTCGGTGGGACAGGAGCCCGAAATCGGGGACAAATCGAAGAACACTGAGGGCTCGATTCGGAAGCTCCCACTGATCCCCGGTTCGATTGAGGACAGAAAAAAGATGCGGTGTCAACTGTGATCAACGAAGCCAGCACTGGTTGACGCGTTTTGGCAAAGCATTAACAATAGCAGTATATAGTAGGAACAAGTAACAGATAATTAACACCCAGTAGTTGTTCAATTGAAACAATGACCCATGGCTGGCTTCGGAACATTTTAAGTACTGTAATTTGCTTTTAACAATTGACAACTCAGATGCAACGCGGGCAGCGCGGCCAGCCCGAGCACTTTAGGCAATGTGGCGGCCAGGCTGAACAGCTTCTTGATGCTTGGCCAAAATCTGCACAATGCTACAGTGGTTTCAGAATAGATTACACAAACACAAAATAACCCAAAGATGTTTTTGTATATGGGTTTCATATAGATCACCTTTTGGGGATTGCGCAATCTACTCTGAAGCCACTGTATTGGACGTCCTGTTGGGAAAAGCAAGTTAACCGCTAAACTACCGGAGATGGTGCCAGGCACAAATATGTTGGTTCATCCAGTTCATCCAAGCTCTTTGCAAAGACTGTCCGACTGTCCTGATCGTCCGACTGTTTGTGAGGGGTTGACATCAAAACACCGGGTTGGGGGGGGGGGGCGCGATGCCCAAGAAGCTATTAGCCGTAGCCTTTCACCTTCTTTTGTGGCTGTGGTGCTTGGAGAGTGCATCGGCATTTGTTTGCTTAGGTGTAAGGAGAGAGGGTCGCACCAAAAAACCAGGCTTTTACATAACTGAGATAGCTCATGAACAAGCTTGCGAGGCCCACTGACATACATATGTTACATATAGTCATAGTATGTATATATATATATATATGTGTGTATTAATTAATATGCATATATAGGAATAATTACTGTTTTGTAAAAAGGACCCACCTGCGACCAAAGGAAGATAATCAGCGACGTCGTTTGCTGGAGTCAAACTCCGAAATGGTCTCCATTTGAACCGATGCGTTTGTGCGTTTGTTTTTCATTGTATGTTCATTGTATTTCCATCTACGTAAGGAGTAGCATGTTTGATCATCGATCAAGACCCTGACAGGATGCTCCCCGTAGGGGGCTTCCACCACTTACACGAAAGACCGAAGACTGACGCAAAGAGACTCAGATTGAAGTCTGAGTCCCAACCACGCCCGGATGGACTTGGGGAGGAACTAATGGCATGTCCAATCCGTCCACTCCGTCCAACCACCCGGCTGCCGGTCCAACCGCGGCTCCTGGACCGACCTCGACCAGCCAACCGACCAGCCGACGCCCAGGAAGTCGGTCTTGCGCACCAGCCATCGGCACCAGGGGGAACCCTACATTTGCTTGGTGCCCGAATGCCACCGGTTGCACCGGGTGGGGGAATGGTTGGGGACTGCGTGAGTGATGGCCTAATGGCCTAATACCACCGACCGGTGAGGTGCTGGGTGATGTGGTGTGCACGTTGGATGTTCAAGTGCTTTATTAATGTTGTGTTCCTCTTCTTTTATGTGACTCCCTCGGCATCCACGTGACTTTGACAGCACTTTGAACGTGCCACCCGACAGGATTGAGGTATAGCTAGATTTTAGCTTGACAACCCACGTCGTGGCCTGCAGCGCATGCTGCAGCGCAATGACGACAACAACAACAGCAGCAGCAACAGCAGCAGCAGCAAACAAGAAGGCATGACGCTGCCCCCACACGCAATGCAAAGACCAAACACAAGCGCAGACGTCACGAAAACGGATAATATTCAGCGCAGACATCACGAAAACGGACAATATTCAATGACACTTTCAATGACATATACACAGCATACAACAGAGTGACAACACACACACACAACACCAAACAGAATCACATCCCTCCAGTGCAGCCCCCACCTGGTGCTCCTGCCAGCCGACCCTGGTACCCCGATCAAACATAAGCACCCGATGAGCAGCAGACGACAGCAAACAACAAACGGGCAATGACACTTACCAAACGTAACCACAACGGAGACAAGCCATCCCATTATCACCGTTGCATACCTTTGCTGATTTTGCTGCATCAGTTCAGGCCTCGCCAATGACCAATACGACAAAAGAAAACAAGCAATGACGCCGGCAAATACACAATGACGCCAGAACCACAACACGAACACCACCAAACACAACCACAACACGTTCTCACTGCAGCGGCCTTCCTGGCGCCTGACGGGAACCACAACACACAACACCTGGCAGCATTGTAACAGACAAACACCGTGACGGCAAACACAAGCAAACATAGCCACCAAACATATCCACAACACGCGTTTTTATAAATAACGCACTAGGACAAGCACGACAGCAGACAACAACCCTGGACGGACATACTACTCCGGGGATGAAAAAAATGTTCGTTGAAAAACAAGATTTTCCGATTCAGTTCCATGTTAGTGCCGGGGTACAAAAGTGCATGTTTGCACGTTCCATGTTAAATTTGTCCAAGCCCCCTCGTTTCATGTTAGTTTTGTGAGCCTCGAAACAAGGATGATCCCAAGGCCATCTGAGGGAGTAGCACGGGGCGTGAAACATGTTCCATGTTTCATTTGCAAGGTGTCTCAAACCTGCCTGTCCACCCCAACAAGTTGCAATGCCTCCTAGGAGTTGCGTTGAAACGAGTTCCATGTTTAAATCTGCCGAAACGAGTTTTCCGTTCGCTGCTCTTTTTCACCGGTGTAACAACACCAAATGGAATCACAACACACCATGGGTGCAGGGATGCCTCGTCCGTCACCAAACACTGTCATCCTACCAGTGTCTTTGGGCGGGTGGGGATAGTTTGAGAACAGGAGTCCAAGGGCTATAGGATAGACTTCAGCAGACAGCTTTTGATGTCTATATTTTGATGTTGGTCCAAAAACTACCGCCTCGCTCCGCATCGTTGGGAGTCCAACCAGAGCGAGAGAGAATATCCCGTTCTTGGTGGGGTCCAAACACTATCCTGGGAGTATCCTGTGATGTCCAAACACTATCCTTGGTGGGGTCCAAACACTATTCTTGGTCGGGAGTATCTTTTGCGGGTTCTATCTCATTTTACTTCCGAAAGAACCCGCAACCGCCACGTTTGAGAATGTCCAGGAGAGACCTGCTATTGCTATGTCAGTTTGGGGGCTCAAGCAGTTCTCACCGGCCAGGAATTCGCTCGATTGTAGGTCCGCCCCTAACCTGAGAGGAGAGCGAGAGAGATGGGCTCACATGCAACATGCAGAGGGTTCTGTTGAGGTTTTGGATTGGAAATCCCCACCTCTAGCAAATGCACGTGGCAGCGTTTTCCTTAGTTCTAGATTTGTAAATCCAGAGCCAAGTTAAATTTCACATATATGTATATGTTGGATCCCTTCCATGATTCTCACAAGCAGTTGATAAGAGTGGCGCAACATGTTTGGGAAACACACCGGCATTCCACAACCGTCCTCCACCCCTCCGGCCACTTAAACCAAAAGAGGGTGCCACCCAAAACGCCCGTGAAAAGGAACAAACGATCAAAAAACTGCAGATTCTGGGTCTCACTGTAATACTGTTTGAGCCACACCCACTTGTTCTGCCTCCAAAAAACTCCTGTCTTCTTTTCTGCCTCAGATTCAGTTTTGGAACATCTCTGAACATCTCAAAAAGAACAACTTTGGGGAAGGTAGTCGCATACCGTTCTTTCTACTGAACCCACCGTGCCACTCAGGTTCAGTGCCTGAGAGCCTGGGACGTCGAATCGTTCGACGGACTCGCCGTTCTTCCAAACGGATCGGTCCAGGGAGTGAGTTCTGCGGATGTTTTGGGTGATTTTTGGTATTTTCTCGAACTGATGAACTTTGCAAAATGGGATCTTTGGGGAGGAAGATGTTCTTCGACACTTGCTTGGCTTCCAACATGTTCTATTCCCTCAGCAAAATCCCTTCGATTGGTTGATTAGATATTCAATCATGATTAGTGTGGTCCATGAACTCAAAAGCACAGGCCGCACCAGTTTTTTCACATATGTCTAAGTTGAATGTGTCACAGCAACTGACGGTGAATCATGCCAGCTCTGTTGTAAAACATCCCGTGGCTGGAGCCCTGAGTAGATGAAAGACGGGCAGGCTGGAGCCCCATCCAGCGCGAGAGGTTTGAGAAAGCGGTTTAGGCGGATGTTTAGAGCAGGTCAAGTCTCCCGGGTCATTTTTTTTGCGTTAAAGGAACTGGCTACGCGCTGTTTGAAAGGCTTTTTCCCCAAGGCACTTCATCCTTTGGCCTTCTTACACTTATGTACTGTAACCAGATACAGCACGGAATCCTGCAGGTTCTTGCAGGTGTTCCTAGTTGTCCTGTTCTTTTCCTGTGCCTTCCCACTTTTTTGTGTGCGTTCCTAACTTTTCTACGACGCATTCTATTTTCCTAGTTTTGGCACAAACGTCTCAAACATGCTTTGGCTGTGTGGACTTTTGAAGGATTCCACAGGATACCAAAGGATGCGACAAAATATCATTGGATGACCTATGTGGGCGCTATCTATGCGAAAGAAGGCTCATAATAATGAATCCCTCTAATCCAGTGGATGATAGCGCGACTTGTGGACTCGATTTGAATCCAGTGGATGATAACTGGCTTTTCCATGCACTTTGTGAAACTATTTCACTTACTTAAGTTGTTTTGCAAAGATGCCAAAGTGGGTTCACTGCGTTGTTGACGCCAAAGGATTTGCTATAATCAAATGCTCACATAACCTTTTTTGACGTAAGGGAGTTGATTCGTTCCTGGTAATAGGATAGACCCAATATTTATCCAATATTGTGTGGCTTTGCTTGCCCGAGCTCCAAGCAGCCAAACTTTTGGAACAGCATGCTTCATTGGAAAGGCATAGACATGGATTTGTGTTCTACAAGCCTCCAATGTTTAGGGCTGGAAGGAAGCATTGTGGCATGTCCGATCAGGCTACAGTATGACTGTGAAGTGTGGGCAGTCTGGCTGGATTCTTTTCTGAGTCAACCAACATGCCATCCTTTGCAACTTAGCCCCAGTCATGAAAACCTCGCCTGCCTCCACGTCGTCCGAGGAAAGACGTGGGTCGAGTCTTAGGTGAAAAAGGTGGCAACATGAAGCATATTGTGACTGCGGCCGCTCGCTTTTGTTTGCGCACCAAATCCCAATTTGTGATCACTAGGGACCAGAGACGCTCCACAACAAAGGCAGGAGCAGTAGCTAGCTTTAGTGTTTTTAGTTGTTATTCTGAGTTTTGGTGTGGAAAATTGTGTCAATGTCAAGACCAAGTAGTCAGGTTCTGAGGTAAACAATTGCAAGGTTGCAAAAGGTTCTGGTGCCAACTGCAATTATGAGATGTCCTGTTTGATGGTGATTCTTCTTGAGTGGCCCGGGCCTGTGTACAGTGGACTGGTGCGCAGACCAATTGTTGGTTTGCATGACACAACCAAAGCTTTCAGCAGAACTCCATGATTGCCTTTGGGTTTTGATGGATGATATCATTGCCGAGCAATGTTTCATTTCCCATGTCATAGGGACTTGCATGCCATTACCCGCTTTTATTTGGAGATTGTTTCCATCCATGTGGGGGTCACCAGACTAGGAACCTTCAGAGCATCCCACCAATCCCCTTTTGTGAGAATGTGCCATGAAATTTGCAGCACAAGGCTTGCCACAAAGATCTATCCTTGTGCCACGAAGGTGGTGTACGTCCCCTCCTCCTTGCCCGCGACCGGACCGGCCACTCACTTAGGTCAGCAAGAGCTTGGGGCATGATGATTCCAAGCACGGTCACCGACCATTGGTGCAGCTGAACTACACTGGGGGCATTTGCCGCTTCGAGCTCACATTGACTCTCGGCATGTGGAAATCCGCATGGGACTTCCGAGCTAGCAGCGGCTAGCTGTAATCAAGTTCTTTGGGGTACTAGAGATGCTGAATTATGAGATGATGTCAGATGATTCGATGTCCAATTCATGATCAAAATTAGTTATTCTGGTCGACAGAGGAGGGTGAGCATGCACCCGGCACCAGGCCATAGAACCGATAGAACATCCAAGGGAATCTCTCGCTGAGGAATCAGTGCCATTGGATGTTTTGCTTCCGGTGCTCATGTGAAGGGCCAGCCATCCTGTAGCAGGTGGAATCTGATAAAGTATCCCAAGTCATAGGTTGTGCGAGCAGATTATACCTTGAAGTAATCACACCCATCAGCACAGAAGAAGGGTAACAGCAGGTACTCTCAAGTGAGCAAAAGGGGTCCCGTTTCCACATTGGCCTCCACTTGACTGATTGGAGAGCAGAAGCGCACCACTGGCCGGAAGAAAGCATTGGTCTCAGGATTTGTTTGGTATCTCATTTTTCTTCGCCTTCAGCATTTAGTGTATGGTCATAGTGGTGTTTATTCGGTGTCTTAGCAACCTTTTTAGGAAACTTGTACTGGTGTTTGTTGCTGGGGGGGGTTGGTCACACTGTCAGACAGAGTTTGTGATTCTTCTTTCAGGCTGAGGCGGCAGCCGCCTCAAGGCATTCTTTCTTCCTACCGTGCAACATGTCTAGCCAACGCCGTCGAGGTGCCGTCGGTTGGAGTCGATTCCTCCCTGGACTCGGCTAAGCCAGCCTCGCAGGTATCCTCCTTTCCATGACCAAGAATCCTTTTTCATTGCCGCTGCAGAGGTTCAGAAGGTGGTCAAAGCCACCTGGCAGACATTCCGTGCCAAACGGCCCCATCGATGGTGCGGATCCAGGATGATCCAGGGCTTTTCCAGGTTTAACCAGGTGAGACAACCAATTTGGAGAACAGTCTTTTGAGGCGAACCCAGCTTGGACTGGTGAGAACGGGTCTAACCCAGTTTTGGGCGGTCAAAATGGCCTTGTCAGAAGCCGCGCGCAGAAGCGAAGCCTGTGGCCCCATATGTGGGGAAAGCCATGCGCTCGGCACACCCTGGAAGGACGCGGATCACCTACAAAACCTCTTGGTTGGGGCGTGGTTGGGATGTCCCCACTCAACAAGTGGGTAGAACAGCTAGAAAGGAGCGGTTCACCTTGTTCCAGGGAAGTTCGGAAGCTCGCCGGAGTCAGGTGGGTGACCTTGTCTCTTACAGACTCTTACCTTTCCGAGTCGAGCTCACCTCCTTCGAGTCGATCGATGGATGCCACAACCCCGCACCACGTAGCGACGTAGCTGTTGCTTCAGTCCCCCCCCTCTGCCGCGAGAACGGCGTTCTGAGGATATCATGGACGATCCCAGTGTCTTTAGCTTTTCCGGCTGCAAGAGACCTCCTCGTTTGCAGTACGATGACTGGCCGCCTGGTGCGATGGCGTGTTTGGTCGATAGCGTGGGTCGATCGCGTGGATTTGGTGGATCGGTAGCAGCACCGTGGATCTGCACCGTGGATCTGCTTGATTTAACAGGAAGATGGCCTTAAATCAAGCACACCTTTTCTGGAACGAACATGGTCAAGGGTTGCTTTGAAGATTTTGAGACCCACTCCTCCAAGTCAGGAAGGCCGGAATTTGTTCAGGTTCTGCCTAAGGAGAAATGCCATTGATCCGGACCTGACGTGCAGGAGCCTTCATATGGTCGAAGAGTTGTTTGACGTCTTTGGAATGACTTTTCCAGTAGAAATTTGAGAATGTGAGACTTGTTGTTTCATTGTTCTTGGAAGTGGCAGCAGGCATGGCTGATTCAAAAAAGTCTTAAGTTCCACCATAGTTTGTAATTTAGCCCCTCAGCTTACCATTGCTCACCACAGTCTTAAGTTCCTTGGTTGTTTCTTGTTTTTTGCAGTGGTGTGCAATCACTTCAATGGGTACGAAATGGTCACTGGAACAGGCCAGGAAAATGGCAGGTCTGATGGCGCGTGCGTCTTTTCTTTACATCGCCATGGCCATAACTTATCGTGACTCACCAACCCAAACACAACAATATCCCGAATACCCGCAGTGGAAAAGAAGCTGCCTCCATCCTCCAGGAAAAAAGACACACACCCCTTCCTTCCGTACCTTCCGTTCAACCGAATGAACCGACCGGTCTTGGGCGGTTTCACCTGACCGGTGCGGAGGACGCTACGGCGGAACGGACGCTTTCCGAGGACGTGTCCCAACAAGCGCTGCCGGAACGTGTGCTTCGCCCGCCGGGTGCAATGCCCCAGATGTGGAGAGCACAAGCCGACGCTCAACGCTCGAGTCGTTGGTGACTCCCGGGAGGGTGTGCCGTTCAACGATCTTCCAAATATGCAATAGGTTTGCCATTTGGCTGGTTTTTGATATGAACAGGCAGAACGTGTGCACAGTTGGAAGATCCAGGTTTGGACTCATATATTGGCATATATTGGCATATATGGCCGCATATGGCCTTCCAAATAGAATGACCAACGGCCAGAAGATGTTGTAAGCATTTGTAAGTGACACCGAAGTTGAACCACTTCTTCTTCGAAAACCGAATCGCGCAGACAGCGGCACCCTCATCATCTCTCGTTTGCAGGCAGAAGGTGCAACCTTCCGTTTGACATTCCGTATAGGTATGTATAGGTTCTGTCAGGTTTTCGAGAGTTTTGACACCTTGATTTATGAATGTACTCATCTGACTCATATGACCCACAAAGGAGATAGATATGGAAGACCGAACGGATCGGGGGCTCCACGAACTTATTTGTGTGTGTGTGTCACATGTGAGTATATAATCTATCAAAGCGACGTAGCTCTCGAGGTCCACGTGCTAACAACAAACGAAGGTGGTGATCGATGATCAACGCACTGCTTTTCCAAGATGTCGAGCCACTGGCGGTCTCAAGGGCCCTAAAGGCGTCGAACAAATGAGATGGCCGCGGATGCGGCGAAAACACACATTGCAAATCCTGACATGTAAAATTCATGAATGAGCATTCGCACATTGACACGGGCCAAAGCTTTTTGCAATGGACTTACCGGTGTATGCTTGAAGAAATTCAAAAGAGGGCCATTCCACATTCAAACATTTCCAGAGAACTCGTTGGCGTGCAGCCAAGCTCCATGTTCTCGGGCTGGTAGCTTTCGAGGCTTTTCACCTGTCACACATGTGAGCGGGGTCTGGCTCATCATGTCACTTCTCTCACCCAAACGAACTTGTTCGCGAAAGTGGTCTCGCTCTTCCAATTCAGCCAGTCGTCGGCGCTGGCTCACAATCTTCTTGTTGACATCAGCCAAGAAACAAAGGTTGTCGTTCCACATCCTATGCCACTGCTTGATTTGCTCGTCCGTGTAGTTCTGGGACGAGTCTTCTTTCAGCAGCTCGCAAAACTTTCGCCACCTTTGAGTCGTGAATGACTCAGCAGTCAAAGCAGCACGAGTGGCAGGATCAAGGTCTCCTGCTTGGTCATCCAAAGCGGCCAAAAGCAGCCTCCAAGGTTGCTGAGCACGCTCATGCTGGACTTGCATTTTCAAAGCACTCCATCTTTCCCACTCCGACTGGCTCATCTCTGAGTCGGTGTTGGTGCTCGTGCTCCCACTATCCAGACCAGGGCGGCGAGCGAGCGTGAGGGCATTCAAAATGGGGCCGTCATTCTCGAGGACCTCATGCTCTTCAGCGGCGACATGGCTTGAGGCGTCGTCATTCGCAGGAGCGGGGTTGTTCACAATCACACGCTCTCTGAGGAAAACAAAACATGGTCTTTCACAAACAAATAGGCCCGGTACATGATGACCTCTACGCCAACACATGCCAAAAGAAACATGACACCAATGGTGAGCAGGAATTTCCAATCCACCACGACCTGACTGCCACCTCCAATCTCAGCAGCTTCAGCCATGGGCAGCTCTTCCAACATCAAGGTCGCAGCGGCGGCAAGTGCAGCTCGGTGCCAAGTGTCTTGTCGGCCTTGAGTGCGACTTTGGTGAGTGTAAAAATGGCGGCGGCTGCAAAACAAGTTCTTCTCATTGCTCTTGTCACATGGTTTTGAGCAGCCTTCCAAAAGACACAAACCAAGTTCTTTCTTTTTGGCCTCATCGATCTCCTCATTCACAAAGGCGTGGTGGTCGTCGAGCTCCTGAGCAAACTGTTCGTGGCGCAACCGTTCAGCTTCACGCTCTTCAATTGAAACTTTCTTTGCAGCAACAATCTCAGGATTGTATTTCAGCTGGTGTGTGCCACGTGCAAGGATCTGAAGGAAGGCGTCCTTAGCTGTTGGCTTTGTCAAACCGTCGGCGATCATCTGAAGCGAATTCACCCAGAACCAACGGCCTTGTAGAGCTTCCATTCTTTGTCGAATGATTGCAACTTCGATTGCCGTCCTTCTTTCACTCAATCTGAAACCTGAAGCTTTTGCCTGCGCGGCATCGAACAATGCTTTGGCGTCCGTTGCCAGGGGTGAAGTTCCAAACTTTCTCAAAGCATCGTTGCCTTGGATGTCCAGGTTCAAGTCAGTGATGAGGGACATGAAGATCTTTGTCCATTCAAGTTCATCGACCGTCATTGCTGCGGCCTGAGCCTCTGCTGACAGACTTGACCTGCAAACACGAGCCAACTTCTTTGAGCTCCAGTGCACGATGGTGAGGGCCATGAGCTGATCGCTTTCGATCTCTCGGTGGTTGCAAGCAAAAATGACCATGCCTCCCTGACTGCTGCCGTCAGGGCGTACTGCCCAGCTGGCGTCGGTGTAGGCGCCAAGACATAGATCAGCCAAGCTTCCATGAGACCTGATTCGAAAGAGGTGTTGCTGAGCAGCTTCCTTGGCAAATCGTAACACCTTGTTTGCTTCCAACAAATCTTTCACACACGGTCCACTGGCTGAAGCTTGCAGCAAACTGATGGAGGCGCAAAGTTCCGGCATACACTGATTTGCCGGCCAAGCGAGTGCTCCAATCAAGGCTCTGAATTGTCGGTGCTCTGCAGCATCACAAGGGTCATTGGGATTGGACTTGCGATGCTTGTTGATGGAGATGGGCTTCACTTTGGCGACATAGTCACGAAGAGAAACACTCAGTGACATGTAATCCATGGATTGCTCCAATTGTGCACCACAAAAAACAATCTTTGAAGACTGTCCAAAATCCCATGAACCAAACTTGAAGCGCTTGGAAAGCAAATGCAAACGGCCAGCGAAAGTTGCAGGGTCGAGCTCTTCGTTGTCAAAGTCAGAGGGATTGTGAACTCCCTCACCACAGCCAACAAAATCATCGACATGCAAGCCAAGAAGGCCATCAACAATGTGTGGGCGACCCTTCCAGTCAAAACAACAGAAGGGGTCGTCCTCGTTGTGGGCCAACCTCAAGCTCAAATAGACACAGCTGTCCAGCGGATGAGGTACCAAGCCAAGAGACTCCCGAAGGTAGGTGTCCGCTGTCTTGTTCCATTGGCATGGAGCACGTACATCACCAAAGGCTGGACGTGTTGCTTTCATGACTTCCCATGGCTTGAGGCCAATCTTTCGTTCAAGTCGTCTTCGCATGTCGGCAGACGGTTGGATGTAGATCCTGGTCGAAGAGTCTATCTCATCAGCTTGCATGAAGGCACTTTTCACATCAGCAGTCCAAAGCTTCCAGGGTTTGTGGACAGCGACCAAGTAGATACAGCTTCTGCCAGTCATCGACAAGGTGGGACTTTCTCGATCCAAGGTGTTCTCAAGGACATCACGATGGCGAAATCCTTGGATGATGACCCGGGCATTGGCTTTCTTCCCGGTCTTGGTGGGTTTCCACCTTTGCAAGAAACGAGCAGGAATGATCTCACCAGGACCAGCTTCTGAGGCGTCCACAACACGCCAAGCATCATTGTCGAACCACACGTTGAGTGCAGTATCCTTGGCGTCGTCGAATTGCAGCTTCTCCTCAGGTGACAAGTATTTCTCACTGAATGTTTCAGTGGCAAGTGCATCATCAGGTTGATCTACACCAGTCATGTTGCTGTAGTGCTGCAGGAATTGTGGATTCTCAGGTGACACTGGTTGTAGTCCATCAAGTTGTCGTGCCTGGTTGTATGAGTTCAGTGCACTTGCTTGACTCACTTGCTCAAATCGTTGATGCTGTTCATCCTTTGGAGGAGGACTGCGAGATCTCTCACGTCTCTCTGCTGTTGCTTCTGCCGCTGCCGCTGTATGTTGTCTGTTGCTCTCATGCGCTTGCTTTTCTTCCTGCTTGCCTGTTGCTGTCTCTGTTGTCTCGTCTGCTTGTTGTTCTGTCGTGCTCAACTCCTGTTGTTGTTGCTGTGCTTGGTTTGCTGGAGTTGTGCTTGTGTCCATAGTGTCCATGTCATACTCCCGGATGTCCTGTCCGTTGTGGTTCAAAGACTGCAAAGGAGTAGGCGAAAAAGTGGACACAGAAGTTCCCGATGCGTGAGCAGCAGGGGGATCCCCAGCCAAATCTAAAAAACGAACAGGGCCCTGCACAGGGGCCAGAGCAGCACGAACTCGATCTCGAAGACAGGAAGTGTGAGCTGAGTCAGGTTGAGTCTTCAGGCGTTCAGCTCTCTCACAAGGTACTTCCGCACGAATATGCTCAGGGGCAACACGCACCAAAGAGCTTCCATGTGCCACCCAGAAAACAGATGCACGAGTTGAGCCATCGTCCAAAACTCGAGGCTCGATTGCGCACACAAGTGCGGGACCATGCCAGCGTTCAACGTCAAGTTTGGCAGGTGAAGGTCTCCAGTAGAACACATGGTCTCCGATGTAGATCTCTGGGTGCTCAGCTCGAACTTTGGCATTGAGAGCGCGCTTGAGCAAAGTGCTGGTGTTCGCCGCATGGAAAGCTTGGGCAGCAAGGTGTCGCAAGGCTTGGTCTTCGACATGTGCTCCCTTTTCATCAGGCCTCAACTTGCATGGTTCATCAGCGAGGCCTCCATCATGTGGATTGTGTCCGAAAACGATCTGATAAGGTGAGCTTCCATGTACTGAACGAAGACGGTTTCTTTGGTAACAAGCGACACGCACTGCAGTTTCCAACAAAATGTTGGGTTCTTCCTTTTGCATTTTGAGCAACTGAAGACGGCGTACAGCATGAAGTCTTTCAACTGATCCCATGCGGTTGTGAGCTTCTTTGGGTACCAGGACCAAACGGATACCATGCTGATCGAAGGAGTCCAAGTACTTCTGGCTCATGTGTGCACCAGAAGAGTCAGTTCGAAAAACTTCCGGAGGGCCAAAGATGTTGAGCCATCGTTCTTGCAAAACTTGGATTTCTTCTTCTTCAGTTTCTCTAGCGATCACAGCATTGATCTCAAAGCGAGAGTATACATCCAAGACTGCAAGCACACGCCTCTTTTCATCATTCCACTTGATGTGAAAGGTGTCGGCTTCCAAAATCTGGTTGAAGTGGCTTGCTTGAGGCAAGGAGGAAGGTTTCTCCAGCTTCTTCATGCTGTGAGCGGCACAAACATCGCATTTGTATTCACGGGCACATTGGACGATTTCATCTTCAAAACCAGCGTCTCGAAGAGATTGTGTCAACTTCTCACGTCCAGGATGTCCAAGTTGCTTGTGAAGTTTTGCCACGATGTTGACTGCCTGCTTGCTGTGAGTCTTGGCCAACTGCAGTTCAGCTTCATTCACTTTTCTTTTCTTTCTCTCCATTTCTTCTTCCATGAGCTCCTCAGTCACGAAGATGCGCCAGATCTCACGGCGTCGCCAGCGATTCTCCATGTCAGTGTAGATTGCACTGGCTGCCTTTTTCACAAACAATTCCTCATAGTTCTGCATGCTCTTGAGCTCTTTCGATTTTCCTTCCATAGGGGCATGAGTTCCAGGAAGACAGAGGCAAGGAAGATCAAGAGCTTCAAAGACCTCAGGGCTGTTGGTTCTCAGTCTCGTTGGTTTCTTCACTTTTCCGAGGCAATGACCTTCACGATCATAGGACTTCAGACCTGTCCGGCATCGATTGCAGATGGCATCCATGCCTTGCATGCTGTTCATGGTTTCAGTGGTCCATGACATAGCCAAGTGAGGGTGCTCCAGAACCATGCCACCATCAACTTCATCCTCCATCACATCCATGGTTTCCTTGCACAAGGTGAGATGTGTCTTTTCTTCTTCTTTCTGCAATCGGAGGATTTTCTCTCGTAGATCTTGCTTCAGCATGTTCAATCGCTGAATATTGGACCAGCGAGTGCAAGGCGGTGCACACCAGACAAAGTGCGGCTTCTGTCGTCGAAGTAGATCGATGAACTGTTCTCGAACATGCTTTTGATTGAAGTCCCATTCTGGCAATCCAAAGGTCGAGACCTCAACGTCGGGATAGGTCTTGGCGAGGTGTGAGGAAAGTGCTCCTTGATCCACATAGACCTCAAAGAAAATCAACTTTCGTTGTTCATGAAGTTTGTTCAGCACTTTTGAAGTGATTTCACCAATGTCGTCATCACCAGTCTCCAGGAAGATTGTCTCACACTCTTCATGGATGTCCAAGTTGGTTTGCGGTTCAATTTCAAAGACACTCATGATGATCTCCGAAGTTTCTTCAACAGCTAGATTCAGGTCTTCATTTTCAGAAAGGCTGTTGTAGTCGAGGAGATTGACCAAGTAGTGTCCTTTCTTTCCACGAGGAGGTTGGAACCACTCAGATTCACCGATCTTCAAAGATCCTGAAGCAAAATCTTGTTTCACGCTCCATTCTTCAAGAACCGGTCGAGCTAGAAGAAAAGGTGTGGGTCCAGGAACAACTGAAACTCGCAAAGGCAGTTTCTGGCCTTTGACCAATACTTGCAACTCCATCTCAAGTTCGGATTGAAGAAGCTCTCCACCTCCAAAGCGAAAGGCACGCTGTTGCGGGTGTACTTTGATGTTTCCAAGGAGCTGCGTGTCATACTTTTCCACCCATTTCTTCCAAGCTTCTTCACCAACCAAAGTGCGAGTGGCACCAGAGTCAATGATCGCAAAGCCAGGAGCCAGATCACTGAAGAAGATCTCATCCTTGGGAATCTCATCATATTCATCCTCCACCATCGTCACTTCATCAGAGACTTCTTTGACTCCCTGCGCTTGTACTCTGTATCGTTTGAAGCGTGGTCCATGAGCACTGTTGGAGCCAGACAAGGTGGACTTGAGGTCATTGACATTGGAGTTGGACAAAGTGCTGTTGGGCGGTCGTCTCAATCCTTGCATAGGCCTTCGCGGCATGAAGTTGGATCTCTTGCCAAAGCCTTTTCCTTTGCCTTTTCCTTTGCTTCCTTTGCTCTTTCCTTTTGCTTTTGCCATCACCTTTTCCACCTCCTTTGTGTGTTCCACCTCCATAGTCGGGCGCAAGAGCGACGATGGGATAGAAGCCACGAGACAATGCCAATTCTTTCATTCTTTTTCTTGACTCCAGGTACGTCACATAAGCATCATCGACCTGGTCCATGGCATTCTCAAGCTCCTCAGGAACTTCATATTCCTCAGGTTCTTCATCGCCTTCATAGAAAGCATCTTCAGACCACCACCATTCATCATCTTCGCCATCTTCATAGAACTCTTCGTCGACGTCCTCTTCGAAGAACAGGTCATCCTTGAAGTGCTTTCCTCCGATATCTTTGTGGTTTGGCTTGTGGTCACCGCCAAAAACACGTAGAAGAGCTTTGTGAACAGCTTCATATTCAAGTTCTCCGTGACACAAAGCTTTGATCTGCAGGTGAGTCCATCGAGGAATGCCAGATCTGGTCAACAAGTGCCAACCTGCGAGAAGAGGAGGAAGATCAATCTTCACTTCTTTCAACTTTTTCAAGGCGGTGCGATGACGCACCAAGTAGGCTTGAAGTTCTTCGCCTTTGTTTCGCTGAAAATTCTGAAAGAACTCTTCACACCTGAAAGGTGTTTCGACCTGCTCCTCATACTGGTAGAGGGTGTCAAGCATTCGAAGGATGGGAGCGAAAGGTTTGGTTGAAGTGGTGATGTCATTCAAGTCCAATTGCTCTGCAGCTTCCCAGGCTATATCGCGAAGAAGCGATACCACAAGGAGGGCGCCTTCGATCTCAGCTTCGCTCGAACGGCGATGGCACTGGAGGGCATACAACTCAAGTCTTCTTCTATAGCTGCGGTAGTTTGACTGACATAGTCCATCCGAAGAAGGAGCAGCTTTTGCGAGGCCACTGTCAAGACCTCGGAAGCCATTGCCGGAGCCACCATTCGTAGGGCTGGAAGATCCGTTCGCTCGAGTGGGTGAAGGTGCTTCTCGGACAGGTGAAGGTGGAACAGGAACGTCAGCATGAGGTCCATCTTGTTCTCGTCTTCTTCTTTGCTGCTGACTCATGGTTCCACTGTCCTGCCGAACACGATCTTTATGGTGAGCTCACTCTCGAAGTCAAGGTGGTCCTTGAAGAGGTGTTCAACGATGTAGGGTGCCCTTGACAAATTCAACGAGGATCGTGATGAGCTCCGCTACCAATATCAAAGCGACGTAGCTCTCGAGGTCCACGTGCTAACAACAAACGAAGGTGGTGATCGATGATCAACGCACTGCTTTTCCAAGATGTCGAGCCACTGGCGGTCTCAAGGGCCCTAAAGGCGTCGAACAAATGAGATGGCCGCGGATGCGGCGAAAACACACATTGCAAATCCTGACATGTAAAATTCATGAATGAGCATTCGCACATTGACATAATCAAATTAACACAGCTGTTTTCTGTTATAGTTGTATACTGAAGTCAATCATGTCTACTGTCTACCCAAGCTAAGCTTTGAACACCTACCAGGCAGCGGACAGGTAGAGGTCAGGATTGACACGCCGATGCCCAGAATTTATCAAACAGAGAGAGAAAGTGGAGCTGCGGATGAAAGTAGAAATGCTTGGATCCTCTAACCTTGCAAAATGTCTCCCAAAAACCAGCCAAAAGGCAGGAATGTTGCATCGTTGGAAGATCCAGGTATAGAGGAAGCTGAGTCCACTTTGGGTGCCACTTCCATGTAAAACTTTTTGGACTCACAGTCACTAGGAGGACCCATCCGGACTTGCACCTGGGCAGCTGCAGCTACAGCAGGGTTGTTCTAAACCCCTGGAAGGAGGGCGAGCGCAAGGGCCTATGAAGATAACACCCTGCAACCAAGGTTTAGAACAAACCCCCATATAGTGTTCATCATGTCGCTGATTCTTTTGGCCCGCTACTTCGGTCCGCCACGGAAGCGCCGAATGTCATCCGTGAACGGCGGTGAATTCCACTCGCTGAGAAAACGTGAGCTTTTCAATGTTGATTTGAATGGGAGCAACCCTGGCAACCATTGGCAACCTCTCACTTCACCATACTTCGCCACTTCGTGCCAGCGTCACTCCTTCATACTTCGCCACTTCGCGCCAGCGTCACTCCTTAGTTGGAACATATGGAGAATATGCGTCCCTTTGTGCTACAAAGCTGTTGTTCTCTTTGCCGGGCCCTTCTCGGACCTCAAAGTGCCGGCACCAAGCCGAGATTTGATGACGATCCATTACATATACTTATTGGTGGTCTTAAGATAGTAACTATCAAGAGAACTTATAGAACTTATAATGCAAATCAAGCATGGTGTACGGCATAGCATGAGTGTATTTAATCTAGTCTAACTTAATCTAAGTGCTGCAAGATGAATTTTCGGAAAGATGTTCTATGTGCGTGCAACATGCATGTGCATACATTACTATTATACCTAACTACTACTTGACACTATTATATATCAATGTCGTTGTTTCCTTACGTTGTATAGCTCCTATATGATCCACAAACCTCATAGCAACGTGACCCATCGCTCCCGCATGCTCCCGCTCCCGCTTCCGCTCCCGCACCATCGGCCCAGGAAGGACTGGACTCCATCGCATTTGGCCCAGGAGGAAGGCCACTTTCAGATTGGCGACGTGACCTGGGGCCGCGAGAAGCGAATCCGAACCTTTGGGTGAAACGATCCGACCGCCGCGGAGTTCCGGGGCGAGGAGGTAGGAGAAGTGGGCAGGCAGCCTGCGGCCCCTGGTTGGGGTGGAGAGAGGCCGCATGTACTTGGGCAAGGTGTAAAGATGAAAGACATCTGAAAAAGAGGATTTGGGCGAAACTTGTTGCTTCAGAGTTCGTTAGATGAGGTTCTGGAGACCGCAAAACATGACTTCATTGAAAGGGGGGCTCTTAGGTCTCGGCAGTTCTGTGGTTCTACGGATGGCGGTTTCAACCGCCCTCTCCGACCCTCTCGCCCGTCCTCCCCGAGCCCGTCCTCCAAATGGATGTTCTCACAGGAAGGTTATGCGGTCTAGGAATCTCCCAGAATTGGATTCTCATTCGTGTGGGTAACTGTAGTGATGTTGGAGCTGCTTTCAAACTCCACAGGGGAAATGTTCCTAGGAAGAGATTGGAACACCTAGGCCACGGCGGCAAGAAGTTGATAATTAAGAAAACATGGGTTTACTGGATGTTTCTTGGCCGATCTTTCTGTAGGTCACAGGCCTTGTTTGCAGGCCTCTTGGGGCTTCCCCTCAGCGCGCGCGCGCGGTGTGCAGTTGACGCGCGCCGCCATGGGATGAGGTGCTGGTTTGCGCGCGCCATGGATGCCTTGCCCCCACCCCTGTGTGAGGGTGAGGCCGTTCCAGTGTGCACACATGTTGTTGCACGTTCCATGAGTGCATCACCCTTCTTTGGCCCATTGAAACGCTCTGCTGAGCACTTCAGCAGCTCGAAAGCCAAGCCATTTTGCCTAGCACTTTTGACCAGGCTTTGTGTTTGAAGAGCTCAGGATTCGTGGAAGCCAAGTCAAGTAAAGCAGTTGACAGTTGAAACATCTCATCAATGCTCATATCTCATTTGGAATCATCTCTTTCTTGGGAACGGGGAATGGTTGTTGTGTGTTTTGTTTGTGTACTTCTCCAATCCTCTGAGGATTGGTGGAAACCAAGGAGGTTTACAAAGACATGACCATTTTACCCGGCCATGCACGTGTGGTGTGGCTGGTGCCCGAAGCGGTGGCCAATGAGCTGCGACCCAAAAGCTGGGATGCTTGGGCGGGACGAGCTTGGGCGTTCCAGGGACCGGAGACGGAGCTTGCGGAAGGCACGAAAAGGTGGCCACAAGAACCAGCAAGAAGGTTACTTTTAATTCTTGTTTCTAATAGCTTAATTGTTACTACTAGTAAGGCACTTGTTACTAGAAGCGATGCACTTGTTAGTAGTAGCTTATTCGGTTGCAAGAACTAGCAAGAAGGTTGAAGAACCCTAGTTGGACTATCCTATAGGTACCCCATGTAGGGTCGGTCACTTAAACGCCGTTGGAAGTTCTGGGAGATAGAAATGAAGTGACTTAGTTGAAGTGTTTGTTTATTGAATGGTTTTCAATGTTTTTCGCGTTTTTGAAGGCATGTTCGAGCGCTAGGAATTTACGGTAAGATGTTGAGGCAGTCTTTGGAACCATTGCCTTTTGTTGGTAGGGCATATTGGACCTAGATAGCATCCTGGAAGCAAGACAAATCGCAGATTTCCCAGGACTTTCACACTTGCAGGGACAGGGAGTGGGGGGGGTCATGAAGAATAAAAGCACCGAACAACCGCACATGTGAAGTGTTTGTGTTTATAACACGTCGGGAGAAAGAGGAATGATAGCAGAGGAAAGAGGTATGCGGATGATCAGCGGAGGTGTGAAAGCAAGATGGGTAGATGAGTTGGCACATGAGTTTCTAGTCACGGATTTTTTCCGCTGCGGCAAGGAAGTGTTTCTGCTTACTACTGTCCCCCGAGGAGTCGGTTTGAGCATCTTAGATGGGTTAAATTTTAGCATGTTCTCTTGCAATATGCAGGAAGAAAAAACTAAAAAAGTATGTAGCAGCATATATAGCTTAACTGCTATAGGGTATATAAGTCTCGTTCAGTTGGTCTGAGAGGCAGCGTCTCCGAGTCAGCTCAAGCTCGTCGTTTTTGGTTTCGACGGCACTTGCGCCGAATGTCACGGTCACAAAAACTTTGTTTAACAGTTTTCCCGAATGCGTAGCGAACGGTTCTCGTTTAACTCTGGGGGTCTCGGGGTAGAGTCGGGTTCGTGGGTTCCATTTTGTTGTGTTTTTGTTTGATCATGTTCCACCAAAAGCTGCCCATCAGCTGACCGTTGGCCACAGGAACCTCGGCAGGAGAACATTGGCTTAAGGCTAAGGGGTTAAGGCCATTCCCGAATGGTTGCCTGCAATCCTCCCCAATTTGTGAAACATACACTGTAGTCCATAAACACTGTGAAGAGTTGCTCGTCCAACCGTGGCCCAATCAATTTGCCAGCACCTTCCTTCCAGAGCTCCTTTTCTTGAAGTTCACTGACAATCGTCCTACCCAGTCAGTGGATAACCTCTAACCTTTTTTGGGGGGGGCATTGGTTTCCCCACATAATATAGCAGATGGAAACATGTTAACCTTTTTGTCAAGGGATTTCCGGGCAAACGGGCGTTTGGCGCCGCTGATTCAGCTCGGCGCCGTCCATCCCAAAAAATCGGTCCAACGATGCCCGAAGGCCCACCCAAAAAGGACACGCCCACACAGCTGAAGTACATGAAAGCCCAAGCCCTGAGGAAACCTCGGCAAGGGAACAACATCTAAGTATATGCAAAGCAGTATGTTTTTCACCGCCATTAGCCTTTTTCTACAAAACGCTTGACTTTTTTCCGTTACGAGTGGGCTCGGAAGTAAACAGTGATCATTGATCGCCATCTCGCTGTTATTTGAGCGGTAACTTCAAGTATGCCAACCGCTCCCCATCCAGACACCCATGAGCTTTATACTTTATCTTCAAACACTTGTTGTAACATGTCCCTACTTGTCAGTCTTTTTCCGGGCACTTCTTGGAGGAGAAAGAAACGGAGCTCAGCAACTCAGGAGATCAAACAGACCACGCAACTGGAGATGCTTTTGCTCACCCGTGACATCGAGGCCGAGCTCTACTTTGGTCAGGAATATGCCACTTGGAAACGGTTTTAGCAAGCAGGGCGGAGGGTGATGAGGGAAAGCGGCGAGTTGATCTAGGGATGCTGGTGATAGTGTTTGGAGCGCTGGTCAAAATTAGCTTAAATACAGATAATACAGAAGAGGGGGTATGTTTTTGCAGACGGCTACTATGAGCCACCAAGCAGCCGCGTTAGTGGTGAGATCCTGCTCAGATGACGTTCGACCTGTAATTAGCACGAGCCAGTGGAAGCCACTGGAAGTCTTGGTAGGATGCTAGCTTGACCTTCTTGGTAGAACAGGATGCTAACCTTCTTGTTAGGAACAGTCCGAACCAGGATTGTGTGCTCCTACCAGGATTGTAGCGAACCATCCATCCTGGTAGAACAGTCCGCCAGAGCCATTTTTCGCCATCTTTTGCCTCGCGGTTTCTTCCTGCGGCCTTGACCCCGAGGTCCAAGCCTTCCTCATTGGGCCTCCTCCACAAACACGGGAAGCCATCCGCAGGACCGACTCTACGAAGTGTGAACCGAGCGCTGATCAACGGATTCAGTTCTTGCAGCAGGTGGCAGATATCGGGGCCACTACTTGACATCGCTAAGCAGTTGTTGCTTTCTAGCGCTTTGCACCCAGTCCTCGTGGCCGTGGCTGACATCATGGGCACCTGCCGCCCCAAAAAAGGCACGGCGTGCATCATAGTGGCCTATCATACTTCAACCCTGTTCCACTTCCATCATTTGCACACGCTTCACATCTGACATCTTCAAGTCTCTTCTATCTCTCAGCATTTTCTTCCCGTCTAGCTTTCCTTTCAGCACACTTCTACGAACGACTGAAATGCAAAGGCTCACGTTGCCCGAACTCGAACTCGTCTTCACCACCTGCCAGGACATGCTAACTCCGGCTGCGTCTCACGAACGCGTCTCTCCCGCATGAACATCGCTTCCCCCACTGTCCTGAACGCGGGCAGCACCATGCAGCAGCAAAATGCCCCGCAGGAAGTCCATCCACATTCACAGATCAAAGAGTTCCAAAGGGGTTGTTTTGTAGACCCTATAGGTGAACGGATAAGAGGCACCACGCTGGAACTCTAGAACGGATAACAAGGATCCTTTCAAGGTTGGGTGGACAAACTGACCCCAGTGAACTCTCCTCACGAAGTCTACCAAGTCTAGCATACACAGGACTCTACACTTGGAAAACCTTACACCAATTCTACCCCACCTTGTTTTGTTTGCTTTCACAGTCCGAAGAACACTGCACTCCGACCACGCAGCAGGATCAAGGAACTCGTTGAGGGCCGCTTATCGGAGATGGGCTTCGAAGAGCTCCTCGACGCCGCGGAGGAGAGGAACTCGTGCGCATCGAGCGCATCGTGCTACGCGTTTCTTTCCTCGTCCGGGAGACGAGGCGATCAAACGGAAAGAGGCAAAGGTGAGAAGACCTCAGATGACTTAGTTATATATACATCAATCAGTATGTCATATCTGTAATAATATATAACTGTGTTTTTATAGGTCATGAAACATATGTCATCTGTAATGGTGTTTGTCGTCCAGCTCGGGGCAGGCAAGTGGAAGAATACAGAGCGATAAAGAGGGTGTTCGGCGTTCGGCGACACAGATGGTAAATACATCAAACAGATGTTTATCCTAGATACCTTGAATTCACAACCCCATACTTGAATGATACATACATGTTGTTTACCTTTTTGTGTGCTTCTTCCCAACCATCCTCCAACTCCAAAAATGAGGAAATGTAAACGGTGCAAACCAGGAGATGTAACTTGGAACACTGAAAAGCGTTCAAGAATGAGGGACTGAATCCTGAGCGTCCGAAAACGCATTTGGTCATTTTTGGTCTGACACGCACGTCGCATCGGGGCCTTTGGGCCTTTGCTCGCCTTAGCCAAAGGCTAATCTCCTGGAGAGGGCGATGGAGGGGGAGAGAGAGAGAGATTTGGTCTATAGATAGAATATGACAGAACTATGTGCAATTGATGGGTCCAGTGATGCAATCTTCTTCTCCTGTGCTGAAATCGTGGCCATTTCAGGAGGCTCTCCAAGCAGGTGCCAGATCACTGACCGACTTGACGGCCGTGTCCAAGGTGAAGGAGGCGATGGGGAGCCTTGGAAGCCAGGGTCGTCGCGACGAACAGAACGCGTCCAGAACTTCATCGTACGGAGAAGCACGAAAAAGCACGGGAGTCACTGTGCCCTAATCCTAATTGCGATGTGTTCTTGACATTGTTTCAAACTCATTTGATCACGTGCCAGAGCTCTTGACAGGTGGTTGTCCCACCTTTTCCAGAGGAACACGATGCGATGTTGCCATGGCCTTGGGCCTGTCCTATTACCTGTAATATACAGTCAGTAAACAATTATTACATGCATATTACTATTTTTGGACAAGGCCTGCAACCAGGCCCCATCATCATCCACTGAAACCTGGATGACATGGATAGACCCAAGCCATGGCCTTGTTTGTTTTTTTTGGGCCTTTTGGAAGCGCCGGTCTTTGGGGCCCAGGAAGACCCGGCTGCTACGACAAGGAGCTGGTCTTCGGACGCTGCTTGAGGCGAAGAGTGGGGTGACGGTCCACGGTCTGTCCGGTAAACAAATAGGTATCATTTGTTTCAGTAAACAGGTCAGGGTTATTCAAATCACATGAAACTAGCAAATTGGATGTCCACGGTGAAATGGTTTTTCGAATGCAAATCACATCTAAGATCATCCAAGCTTTATCAATTTTTGGAGCAAGGCCTTTGTATAGTAACCATCATCATCCACTGAAACCTGGTAATAGGCCTGTAAGAAATGCGACACATTTGTTTGGCACCTCGGGCGCGGCGTTGCTCGTGAAAACAACCGGCGCGATTGGCGAGGGAGGCTCAGAACCTGAAAGACCAAGGATGACCCCCTAAAAGACCAAGGCTTCCAAATGGTACAGTGGCATAGTAGCAGTGTCATGTCCAGTTTCTCGCAGCCCACATGGCAACATTGCGATGAGACGCACGTTGAGCAAACCAGTCGCACCATCACGACCTCACAAGACCCGCTGCTTGGCCCCCAGCGCGGCAAAGGTTGGCGTTCGTCAAACTCAATTGGTTCTGCCCAGCGCCCAGCGCAGCACAGCTTGTCCAAGAGACTGTGGCGGAGCTAAGTGGTTTCACATCATTTCGCATCTCAGTTGCCAAGCCCAGACGCTCCATGTATGCCATATATGCCTACATTGGGGTGGTTTGGGGGGGTCAATGTAGGCATTTATGGCATACATAGAGTGTCTGGGAAGGCTGGCTCTCTGAGAATGACCGACGCAATGGCCCAGTCCCAGTGCAACAGGTGATCGGGTCAAGCTGCACTTCGCCAGAGCAGCAGCGAACCGCGCTCCACCACACAGTCAGCAACAGCCCCGGTGACGAACGGTTTTTGCCACAAAGCACGGTGAGTCGTACCATGGACGGTGTCGAACTGTCTTCAAGACACGGTCCGATCACGAGGACCTTACGACCACAACGAGCGGTGTGACCGCGTGACCGATGTGACCGTCCGGCCGGACGTGGAACGGACGAGACGGTGTGATATGAAGACCGTCCGGTTGGACACGACGTATACCGCTACCTGCTGGGGGAGAAGGTGAACAAAAGAAAACAGAGACCACCAGCCATGCTACGGACGCTCCGAAGAGCAAACAGTTGGTTGGAGTTTCGACACCTTTGGGATCCTTTGGGTGTTCCTTTGATCATGCTGCACTAAACTCGGAAACCATGGTATTGATCAATACCTGCGGGGCAAGCGGCAAAGATGCGCCATGGCAGTGCCCAAACAAGGAACTATTCAATATTGATCAGGAGAGGTGTGCCCAAACCCATGAACATAAACGATTTGGCCCTAATTAAAGACTAGATTTCGCCACAGTGTTGCCACTGCAGTGCCTTCTCGTTCAATCCCCCAGGGCGTCCGGAAGATGTCACTCGCCCGAGACCGGACGACACTCTCAGACGAACCGCGTTCTACGCCGAACCGCAGACGACACCGCACGCCGAATCCGCGCACCGTTCCGCTCACTCGGCTGGAGTGGGCGGATGCTCGCAGGTGCTGGCGCGTTGGCCGGAGTATTTCTCCTTGCAACCCACTGGCCCTCAAGGCGCTTTGGTGCAGAGCACCGGTGCCCGGGGGCAGCTCGATGCGCAGGCGGCCCAGGTGAAGCTCGGTGTGGATGTTATCAGCGGCAGGCACTTGGGTGGGATGTTGGAAGTGAATTTGTAAACGGTGCGGTAAGGAGGATGTTAATCTATGTTTTCAAGATGTTCATTGTCTCCTATAGGCTTTGTGAGTTGTTTTGTTTTATCTCTATGATTTGCCCTTTGCTTCACCTAAAGAGGCTAAAGAGTGCAAAGGCCAATTTGTATCGCAACTAAGCTCAAATAGACAGCTGCTAGACTTTGCTGCTTGTGTTGGTGTTACTTGGGTGGGGGGCAGGTAGCCAATCAGATGCTGTTTGGTGCTGGGGCAAGGGGCCTAAACGGAGGTTGAGAATGTTTGGAGAGGTTCATCGGGGAGCTCGGGGAATCCAGATGGCTATGCTCCGGGCTTGCTCCGTTTCACCCAGCAACAGGATCTTAACTTTTGACTTTCTTCATGTCCGGGCGTTGTGGAGCTTGGTCGGTTTAGTACAATCTATATAATAAGTTATATATGCAATCATGTACAATCTGCATGTTCTGTTTAGTACAATCTATACAATTTACATAATATAACATGTCACAGCATCAGCCTTGATTTGCACCAAGATCAACACTGTTAAATTACTATTATTAGCTGTTGGATCTTATTAGTTAGCAAGACCTTCAAAGACGTTTTTACATACCACCTCTTAGACACTCATGGAATCCATGGAAGCTGACCCTGGGCGTGAGAGTGCACTGAGGACTGTGCGCGAGAAAGGCGACTGGGACGAGGAGGAGGGTACCGAGCAGAAGGATGTGCCATGGCGAATGGAACCTCGCGTGGTGGGGCCGAGTGGGTGCGAAGGCCTCTTGTTACTAGTAGTGATGGCCTCCACCTAGTATCTAGTTACTAGAAGCTTCAAAGACATACTAGAAAGCTTTCTTGTTAGGAGGGAAGAAGTTTGGATAACCTCAAGCAACTTGGATCTTGAGATGTTCGACCTCGGAACTGATGTTGGAACTGCTGGATGACTTTAGCGTGAAAGATGACTCGTTTCATGATTCTAATATTTATAATCTTTAATCTGAGTAGTTTTGGGCAGATGTGCGTTTCACGATCCGACCTGGCGTTCGTGAGATTGAGATATTTTGAGCTATCTCCCAGGTTGCCCCCCCTAGCTGTCGAGGGGAAAAGTCCAGCAAGCAGCAGAGGGCTTCGGGTGATCAAGACCTTTAGAGCCCTCCTCTTCAATCAATGTTGTTTTCCATCCGAAAAGGGTTGGCCATCCGAAAACTGTTTTCATCCGATGATGACCTGATGTTATCATGTGAACGGGCCATCCGAAAACGAAAAAAAAAACAACTCTATTTCGTGACGCCTTTGAGTTGATAACAACATGACCAACATGGAAAAGAGAACTGGAGAAGGTCTAAAGAAAAGTACCATCGGTTTTTGTGATCCCAATCACCCCCCAAATGGTCCTCTAAGAATCCGAACGGGCTCAACCCGACCCCGAAACGCAGGTGTCCGGACCCACCATGACCCTATCAGCTTGAGGGACCAACCACCATTGGCGGGTCGAGCCTTCGACGGACGTCTCAGGACCCCGGGGACCTATGGGGATGACCATGGACAGTTCGCAAGTGGGTGGGTGGGACCCATGAAGATTTGTTCACTTCGGGATTTCCGGGTTTTCGGGGCAGTTGATGGGTTTCCTTGACCCACTGAGCGACCGAAGTGACCCAGCTCCCCAGCTCGGGACGGCACGATCCGTTTCTTCGCGCACCGAGGAGAAGGAGGACTGCACGACTCTGGACTGAAGAACGTGGGACAGTGTTCTTCCTTGGCCAAAGGAGGGTTTTGGGGGACCAGGCCTTTGAGTTTACAAAACACGAGAAAGACAACCATTTAAAAACACACGATGCGCTGTTAAACATCATTCGGGCTCGCTGGGCAAAAATGCGTGTCATTCGTCGGTGGAGAGAAAGATAGGACGGTCATAGCTGATGCGGGAGACGTGTTCTGTTCGGGCTTCGTTCCCCAATCCAGCCGGAGCAGCGCTTTTCATCCTCCACCAGGCTCCTCCATGCGTATATGCATGGAGAGAAAAAATCCGAGGACCAAAACCACACCTTTGAGGTCGCGTGGTTTTTCCAGGCCGTCGCCTTTCGGACGAACGCGAAACCAAAACGGTCACCAAGGATGAAAGACCGGCTCACCAATGGCAAAGAGAGTTGGACTTATGAGGATCCACCAGAGTCTCGAAGATCTTATCCTTATGCCGGTGACTTGCTCGATGTGTGTCTCGGCAGTTCTGTTGGGTTTTGCGCTGCTGGGAATGGTCGGCATGAGAGAATGGGGGTCGATGATGGGTCCGGGTACTGCTTTCAACACACTGCTGGAAGATGATTTGATGGAGGACTCCAAAGATGGTTGCCAAGAGAGTGCTACTGGGGGGTAGGCTTAAGATGACTTAAGTCGCATCAACTTGTGTAAAGTCGCATCGGGACGGCGCGGCCTTGGAGAACTGGGTTGTGTCTATTTTTTGTTGGTCCGAAGATGGCAAAGTCCGAAGACAATGGGACAGTGCGACGGGCCACCCTCAAGACAATGCCCCTCCCCATGGATGTTTTCGTTCAGGTTCACTTCTTCCAGAAACGTTGATGTTTCACTCAAATCACGTCGACAGTAACCCAATGGGGCCTGCCCGACCACAGCGTAGTAAACTCTTTGATCCACCTGAGCATAGTTGGGCATGACATGCTATTTGATGCTGATGGTGCTCTTTCTCCGGTAAAGCTAAGGAAGGTGCAGGTTGATGGTGAAGACGGAGCTTCTGCTGCATGGCCGGCAGATCATGCCGAATGGGCGGAGCCGGAGCCTGCGGAGGCGGAGGTCAACACGACAGAGATCCAGTCCGACATGGTGGATGTGAGCCTTTGCAGAAGTCTGAACTGTACCCAGGGCCCAGCTGGTAAACCACTATAGGTTCCAGTTCGACTAAAACCATAGACCGAACTAATCCCTGGTTCCTTATATAGGGGTAACTGGGATGGACTGGGGTATATCGTTCGTTTTGTTTGTGTGTGTGCGTTTCTTGATTTTCGGGGGAGGCTCTATCTACCTAAGGGTTTGGAGGTTTACCTGGGATCCTTTGGGCCGAATCCCTTGAGGCCAAGCCCATCCCAAGATTGACCTGTTGAGTCTCTACGATCCTCCATTCCTTCCGGGCCCGTCGCCGCGTCGCGTCCGCGGCCCGTCCTCCAGTCGCCTCGTCCTGGTTCGATGGAACGCCCGTCTTCGCTCGTCCGATGACGGACCAAAGGACGGGACGTGTGGGCGGAATCACCAGGAATGGCCAGCAGAATGATGGGCTCTCCACCGGGTTTTGGGCGTTGAACACTGCATAAAAGCTGGAGTGACTTCTTTGGTACAGATCCATGATTTATCGGTGAGGGTGGTGATTTCGCCTGCCATGTGGCTACGGCGGCTACGGTTCCGAAGCTTCGGCAGGTGATCCTGTGAGAGACCCGCCGGCGCTTCGGGCCGAGGTCCAAATCAGAGGCAGTCTATTCTGTTCATGACCGGTGGTCGTCTCCAGGGTCTCCAGGTGCCAGAGCATGCGCCAGAGCACTAAGGAATGTGCAGCAGGATGAGGGAGAAGACTATGGAGCACACCATCCAACTTGGGATGAAGAAGATTGGGCAGCTCCCTCAGACGAGATGGTTCACGTGAGCCGTGGCAGAACTGCTGAGATAAGAATTAAAATGGGATTGTTGTTGACTCTCAGCACAGATGATACAGTAATAAGCTGTTTTTGGGGCTCCCTTTTCTTATTGAATGTTGGTCATACAGGCACAGATGATTACAAGCTGTTAATTGTTGTTTTGGGCTCCCTTTTCTTATAGAATTTTGGTCATACAGGTGACTGAGCATTCATGAGCATTCTGCAAGTGTGATCTCCCACCCAGCAACGGTTGCAAACCTTATCTCCCATCCAGTAACGGTTGCCAGCATTGGTTCAAAAAATAACAATAATGTTGTGTTTAGCAGCAAGGGCCCCTTATCAACCTTTGCTATAGACTGGAGTCCAAGGGTAGACTGGCCCAAATCATTTTGTTTGAACAAATGTCCTGGAATGTGGTTGAAAAAAGGATCTTGTCAGGCCAGGACAAAGAAAGTAGTCCATATCCACTTGTTGTGTTCTTTGTTTCTCCAGTCCTAATCTTTGGAAGTGTTGAAAAGCCAACAGAGGTTCACTCATGCGGTGATGATCATTGTGAGGGATGGTTTTTGTTGATCCGGCTGGACGTGGGTAGAATCAACCTTAGACTAGACGTTGCTGACACAGAAAGCCAATCAACTCACACTTGCCCTTTGCTTGAAAAAGGAGTTTGACCATCCATGAGTCCTGCAAACACTTTTTTGCGTACATCAGATTCAGCGGGACGGTGTTTGTGTTAGCTTGTGTGAGGTTAAGTTTGGATCCACGACCACTCCAGCTGCCCCACCAAAATTTACAAATATGATAGAAATAAGACGAAATAAGCGATTAACACGATTAACAGATCAGTTTTACTCACAAGTCTCGTAAACATTTCGTAAATACATACTATTGTTCGGCCACATAGTTATGCCCCAGTTAGCGATGTGGTTGATGATTCTGGTAAACCACATTGGCGATCCCCTCCCAAGTTGGGGACCAGAATGGCCACACCGGCCCTGTTTTCTTGGCCACACCGGCCCTGCGACCAGGAAGGTCCAAGGTGTCGACGCGGATGAGACTGCTTGGGTGAACGAGGAGAACATGGTCGAGGAAAGTGAGATGGTCGAGGTGAACCTTGGAGGGACGATGGTGACGAGGCGGACGATGGTGTGACGAGGCGGGATCAATGAGGTTGAGGGATCTACTGTATACAGTACACTTCCTGGTTAGCGCTTTGTTTGCGGCAGCCGAATTGAGCTGTTCCGGCGGCTGAAAGGATATCTTAAAGACTATGAGTGATACCTGGTGAAGATTGGGCGGATCATTTGGTGGAGCTGTTTTGGGCAGAGAATCCTCAGGAGGTTCAGACAAAGTTTGGTGAGTTCAGGCACCTTTGAGTCTTTGGTCCGAGAGTCAAGTGGAACGCGTTTCTGTTCAACACCTGCAGGATTGTTGGAGGATTCTGCGTGAGGTCAAACCACATTCCATCAGCGCAACATGCATATTCATGCTCATTATATTTTTCAATATTCGATCCAAGAGTTTTTGTCAGGGATACCGGGATCTGCAGTACACTGCCCGCTTTTTTCAGGGTCAAGAAAGCTGCAAGTGGCACCAGATGGCATCAGATGGCCAGTGTTTGTAGATCTTTGCTTGCTTCGACCTTTGTGAGGAGTTTGGATGATGGGAGACTGACTGGTTCTTGAATGATCTTGTTTCGGATGATGTTTCGGTGGAGAGTCATCCATCCGGACCGCCGGAGACGCCGACCGGTCGACCAAGGAACGTGGACATGCCTGGTGAACTGTATGGGGACGACGAGGACGTGGAGCCGGAGGAGTTGCTCGGGCCCCGTGAGCGTTCGCGATGATCCGATGAGAGTGAAAGAGAAGGTGAGGCTCATAGAGGTGTTGATACCCACCATGCAAGCCAGGGTTCGAAAACACCAAGTCAGGTTTTTAGATCCAAGAAATGAGAAACTGGATGATTTGGAAGAGAGTGGCTTTTGGACGTCAAGAGTATTGATACTACACCAACCCCTTAGGATCCATTAATCCGGGTTTCTACCGTGGGTTGTGGAAAGTGGTTGTGTATATAGGTTCAAAGATCCCATCAGATCTCTATGTTGAGGACGTGTTTTTTTGTTTAGGGGTGGCCAAACCAACTACGAGGCGACGCAAATTCTTGTTAGGGTAGCTGTTATACCTTTGACTTCCAGTGCACCAAAAGCTCAAAACCATCCGATTCCTGCATGGACACCTTTGAAGGGTATTTATGTATCATTATGATAATTCAGGCGGAGCTTCTTCGATTTGCAAATTTGGCGAAGTGAGGCACTGGGCAGAGGTTGAGGAGGCGGTGGAGGAGGCAGTTGAGGAAGCCGTCGAGGACGCAGTTGAGGAGGCGGTTGAGGAGGAGCTTCAGGAGCCCGTTGAAGAAGAAGTAGCTGAAGAGAGCCTTGGCCGCTTATGGCAGCTTCCCCCTCTCGTCGACTTCCCCCGCGTCTGACCGGTGAAGGGCTGCGACGGAAGCGACCGAAGCGACGCGGAGGAGAGCGACCGATGTGTCGGATTCGTGTGATGTGCCGCGTGGAGGCGTGCTGAGTTGGCGAAAATGGAGTCACATGACTGTGAGGTCTGCGCGTGTTGTTCTCCGGCAAATTTCGAAAAAGGCGCAGGGCGGCGCGTGCGGCGTGCCATGTGAGGTTTGCGTGCAAGTGTGATGTCAAGGTGCCATTGGGGTTTGCCATGGAAGGTGTAGGGAATCGTGCCATCGGTTGAAGACGTGCCATACGGGCTGGAGACGTGCGGATGAGACACGAGAAGGGCTGCTCGTTCGAGGCCTGCGTCCCGCAAGGCTATAGTTAGTCTATAGGCTATAGGCTATAGACATGGGTTAACCGTGAGTACTGCAGAAAAGGTTAACATGTCAAACATGCGCTTCTTGAAAATATCATAAAATATGCGTGTGGACCACTCAGGGGGGTTTGCCACAAAAGAACAGGCAAGGATTGCAGAAATCCAGTTGAAGGCCTCTGAAGCCGGCTGAGGACGGAGGTCGCCGCCCAAAATGGACATTGGCAAGGGATGCTCGGCAGCAGTTCTAATTACTTGCTCATGAGTGGCTAGCCTAGCACTCCCAACTGTCATTATATGGGTGCTATTGGGTACTTAAATGTTTATTTATTAAAAAAAATGTAGAAAAATAAAATTGCATCTTTCTGGCAAACTGAGGGGGTTAGTTTCAGTTCAGGGTTCACCACTTGTAGGTTCTTTAAGCTGAACTTCTCTTTGTTGACGAGGCCTGGTATGGATTGGTCTAAAGCACTTGTCATTTGGCTTTGAAGGGCAGCTGCGTCCGGGAACAACCCACCTTAAGTTAAGTCTTCATAACGTTCTCAACCGTTCTGGCAGGCCACACCATGTGTTGTGTTATTTTTTTCTGGGTATGAAGCCACTGTTGCTTCATACTTCATACGCCTCTATGCTATCAAATGGCCTCATAGGCTGACAGAACAATCCAAACTACGTTTATCGGCACTGCATTTGGCACCCTTGCAAGGGGACGGACCGACACACTCCCTTCCTGTTCTGTTTGGCATGTCACCGCTTTGCCGTACCGCTTTGCGCAGACGACGTCACCACCACAGGCAACACACCGCAACCAGCCCCAGCAACAACCTGAGTAAGAACAAAAAATGGATTAGAGAAGAAACCAAAGAACCAACAAGTACAACTGGGGTCTGACTCGGTCTGACCTTGTGACAAGTGTCAAGGGCCTGATTTTAATTTGCAAGCCCCAAGTGCCTTTTTTTCTCCTGCGCAACCCTGTGCAGTGTTCAACACCGCAACGGACTGCCCAGATGCCCACAAAAACGAAGCTGACAAAGCGACCGGTCGCGGATGCCCTGCTTGCGACCGGGTCTCGATCTTTGGCACTGCCCTGTGGCGCACTTCAGTTGTTGGCCACATCTTCTCTCCTCATGACCTCTCTCTCGTCTCTCTGGCTGGCGGTCACAGACCTCGAACAGCGTTAAAGTCAAGAAAAGTCTCAACAGTTTCTCCTGGTCCTCATCTCTTTTTCTATTGACCTGTTTGCAGTGATGCGTCCACAAGCAAAGGGATGGCGTTTGTTGATACGACCCGTCGGTGAACCAGATTTAGTAGTGGACGGTCCGTGAACCAGAACGAAAACCGAAAGCGAAACCAGATTTGACCAGGCGACACAAACGTAAAGCGTAAAACAAGAGAGAGAGAGAGAGACAGAGAGAGAGAGAGAGAGACAGAGAGAGAGGGGCGAGACGCAGTTCAGGCTCGCGTTCATGCTGCGCTGTTCGCAGCTGTCGGTCGCAGCTGTCGGTCCCTCCATTTCCCGGCACAGCTCAGTGCATGAAGGAAAGCTCACCGCATCTCACCGCCCCGAGGAACACACGGACCGTGCGCATGGCGTGGAGTCAGCCAAAGGCAGAAGCTTGGAGTGGCTGGGAGGAGACTGACTCTTGAGAATTGTTGATCATGTGTTTGTTAGTTTTGCTTGTACAGGTTGCGTGTTTTCCAGGCCTTGCAATTCCCCAGTGTCACTTCAGGTTAAGAGCTTTGGTTGCATATGATGGCTTTTCAGGAGGGTTGCAATGAGCACCCAAAAGAGTATAACTAATCCGACTCCAACTGCAAAAGCTGTTTGCAGCAAACATGTATGAGCTTCGTCGTGTCATTTGCGGATGCCTTTGAGTAAGGAAGAGCTCAAGGTAGATGACGCCAGCATAGATAGACTTTGATAGACTAATATAGTGCGACCTGGTTTAATGCTACATGGTTTAATGCTACTCACTGGGTAGACCAATAGACCAGACTTAAAATCCATTAAAATCCATAGCTGCCGTGCCTATGGATTTCATCCTATGGATCCTATAACGTGTCCTAACTACCCTACTTCACATCACCAAACAGGAAATGATACCATATCCGCCATATCCCCTTCACAGTGGAAACCCGGGTTTGCTGTGGAAACCCAGGGCGTCGACCACGGACGGTTCCAGTCCCGAAGGAGGCGAAGGAGGAGTGGCGTGACGACCCTGCCGACGACGGAGAGTGCCTTGGTTTTCGACGCCAGGGACGTCGTTTGGTTCGCGGTCGGAGAGTACTGAGTAGGTAGCACAATCCCCCAAAAACGGTGGTTTAGATATGGGCTATATAACTAAAGTATATTAAAGTCATTGTTGGGTTTGTGCCATCTATTCTGAAACCACTGTACACAAATGATGGCAGAGGTGACATTTGCACCTCTTTCGGGAGGGTAGAGTGGTTTTCGCCGGCAGACTTGATGAAGTGTGCTTTGCTATTGGTCTTGCAAATGGAATCTACCAAGCTCTGAGGACTTTGTGTTCAAAGGAAGGAGGTGATTCGGGCGTTTGGATGTTCCCAAAGAGCAACGCCACTTCAGAAAAAATTGGAACGGTTTAGCAACCCGTTGCAGCCCCGTATATCATGTATGTTTTGATGAAGGAACACTAGTAGGAGCTCAAATTCCTTTTTTTGGTCCTTGCGCGAAAGGATGGGAGAAAGGACGGGAAAGGATGCATCCAGTTCAAACCCTTCCCTTCAAAGCACGCAGTTCGATCTTTCTCGGAGCTCTTCACGTAGCGACAAAGCGCCAGCGACTGGGGATCCCAAAAACCCGGACCAGGCGCAGTTTCAGACCTTTTGGAGGGAAGAATGAAGACATCCTGCGAGGTTCTTGTCTCTTGATTTCCACGGCTCGGATGTCCATGTCTTGTTGGATGATGTTGGAGTGGTGTGGACGGAGAAAGAAACTGGCCTTGCAGTTTCTTACAGTCAAGAAGTGGCTTCAGTGATGTTTCCTGATGTCCACGCAGATTTCCAGTGACAGGCATCAACAAAACAGGACCTATATAATATATATATGGTAAGTTGGATCGTTCAATCGGATTCAATCGGAATTGAGTGCACCGAAAAGCCTTTCGATGGACTCGTTTTCCTCGTGTTCCTCGGACCGACCGCTTTCTGTGCCCGGTCGCGACTGGACCGGTTGGACCGAGGACGGCGGAGCTCGGTGAGGCACGGCACTGGTCCGAGCTGCCCGACGTGGTCGAACCCAGGGCGAAGAGGTGAGGGTGGGGACTTTTGGATGACTGGAAGATGGAAGAGTACACTGGTGGGGCCGGTTGGCCGGGACAGAAGAATCGAAATTGAGGGGACTGGAAGGGGCTCCCAACAGAAAACTCCTGGCCTGAGACGTTTTGTGTAGAGCTGCATGGAGACCCGGATCCGGGGGAGTCACTAAGTTACTGAGGGCCGCGAAGGAAGCAATGAGATCATTTGGTGAACATGATGTCACGAAAGCTAGCATGCTAGCTGAGTTCTTCTTTGCTTTAGCAATGTTGTGGTGGGAGGGGCTGCGTGCCTTAAAGATTGATATATCAAGCTAACCCCCCCCCCCC